ACATGCATTTGACCCATTATTAAAAGTAAAAACTATCTTAAAAATCCCTTGATTTATATCAGAATTTAAACATTTGCTCACTTTACCACTACTTTCCAAATTATTATTTATTACATGTACTTAATAAAAGTAAGCCTACAACATTTTATGATTTTGTTGTATCATTTAGCTTTTCAGTTTTTCTCTATTTTAAAAAGGAATTAACTCATGTTAAACTTAACCGAATATGTCTATTTATTCTTAGTCATTACAGACTATTATAGCTGCACATCACCAGTATGGTTACCGGCAGTTTGCTTTAAGGGGCTGTATAATAACATTCAAGGTATCTTTTTCATTACATGCTTTTCGGTAATTTGTAGAAATATATAAGTGAACTTAAAAAAATGATATTTCACTGTTTGAAACAGAGAAATCATCAATTTGATAACTTTCACTGTTTTGAATTTAAGCCCGATACGTTATTTCAGTAAAATGCCAGCGTGCATAGTACTTGAAACCAACTTACTGAAGTGACTTCGTAAACGACGTCCCAGTGTATTATCATTTGGCTCGCATTTCATTAAGCATTAAGTTAAAGCGTCTTTTTAATCATTTCTTTGCATGTCATAAACAACATTTTTTTAGTTGCTGACCTACTCGTGAAATATACCTTTTGGTGCTCACTCGGTGGTCTTATTTTCTACATATTGGTAAATAGAACAGAATAATAGAACCGTACCATTCATTTAAACATTTCACTAGTAACAGACGCAAAAACACTTACTTCAACATTTTGACGAACGTAGACGAATGCTAAACGTTTCTGAGGATGCCAAATGAATGCTTTAAAACGCAAGTTTAACATAAAAACGATACACGAATAACGATAAACGATACACGCTGGAACGATTCACGCTGTGTAATATGGAATTGATATTGACTTTTTGGAATTCGGAAATTCAATTGAGGTTTCAGTGAAAAAAAATAGACTTAAAAGAAAATGATTGATATAGGTATATCAAATGATGAAAATGCTAAAAGCATATTGGTTATATTTTATATTGGGTTCATCATTTCGTTGTATTCAAGCATTGCATATACATGTACCTTTATCTTTATATGGCTATATACCAGGATATATGGATTGAAACTCTTTAAGGGCATTACCAAATTTTTTCTGATGTATATCTTGCTCCAAAGGACACATTCATTTATAAGTTAACATTAATAAACTACACAAATATAATAATATTTTACGCTTGTAAAAAAATGAATCTCACTTTTTATAAGTTCTTGGATAATAGCTCTGACTACGAGAATAGGTGTTTTTCATTTTGTTTTAGAGTGCTGCACTTGAAGGTTGAAATATGTTGAGTTACCCCAAAATCATTAGCATAAATGTACAAGGTAAGTTTTTGCTGTTGGTCTTTTAACAATGAAGTAGTCACAATTATAAAGCCTTAATGTTTATGTTTTTTACACACACATTTTGTGTACGGGCATGCAATGATAACTTCTAGTATAATGAATGACTAGTGGTAAAAAAGTAAACCATAGAGCAATGCACGTATAATAATATTAAAGTTTAAGACGTTGACAAAAATGGGCGCTTTTTGTTCACCACTATTTTCCTTTACCTTTTCAAAAAAAGTTATATATTGTTCACAGTGCAAATAATTGACGTAAAACACAGTAAGCATAAAATATGATATTGTGTCATATATAAAGATATGTATGAAAATAATCGATATAGTGTATGTAAGATGTTTATTTCATGATTTCCTGTGTTTTGCTGTAATATAACAGATTATAATATTCAGATAAACCACAAGTAAAATTTACAAAATATAATGTTCACTGTAGCCGGACTATATCTGAATGCGAATGAAAAGAATATCATAACTAAATGGAATAACAGGCAAATATAAATGACGTCAAACGTAAACGTTGCTTCTTTTGGAAAAGAATGTCGGTGTCATCATACATCATGTTAAATATGTAATAACAAGAGAAATGTAACATAAATATATTTCAATATTGATGATGTGACGTCATGGTGTGATGATGTTATAAAGGAGAAATACGCACGTTACGCGGCAAAATCAGTAAAAATATTTAAAATCACTTAAAACGCATGAAATTAAAAGAAAATGTTTTGTGATTAACATATAAGATTGAAATATATTTCATTCGTGAACACCAGCTATAATATTTTCATTGCATATTGGTTTGTGTTCACTTAGTGAAATATATTTCAATCTTACATGCAAAACAAACACATATCCTCTTTATTTCCCATATAGAAAAAGTTGCACTGATTATGAAATAATTTGTCATAAAAGTTGAGCAATGTACATTAAATTGTTACCTAATGGAAACTGATGCAAGACACCATAAACAAAAAAATAAAAATAAAATTAATTTAATAATATAATGTTGAAAGCTTTAGTGTGCCTTTCGTATGTTGGTTATTTCTTTATGATAAATTAATTTGGTATTATGAAACAAAAACTGAAGGTACAAATTATCTTTAGATAACATCATATTTGTTTGAATTTTTTTCCCTTTTTTGCTAATTTATGAAATAGAGAAAATAAGAATCCCTAAAGAAAGCCCAACACGGCAAAATTAAAATGTTGCAGGCTCGGTTAGATTGAGCCTGTTCATGGACGGTACTGTCAAGTGCAAAGTACCGTCTACGCCCCCTAGCACCGGCTGAAGCAGAATTAAACATTTAACACGAACTGGTACAGTTTTGAATTTCAAACATCGCAGATGTGTTCATATGGCGGTTATCATGGAACCTTCAATGTGACACGTAACTGCCATTCCATGAAAAGCGGCAAATGGTCCCCAAGTAAAAAATTGTGTGTGCCCTAAACGAGAACACAATGGGTGGAACTAAATTAAATGGAATTTTGAAAGGGGATCAGAGGTTATGAAGCCTGCATATCACAGATAAGGCGTCAAAAGACAAATTTTAAAAGCAGGCCATATATCCTAAGGGTGGTTCAACAGTATTCAAGTGAGGAATACTGGAACCACCCAACAATAAAATAGCCGAATAGAAATAACTAAATTACCACCAGCACAACAATAATGTCGTGCTGAACAATCTTTTAGGATCGGAAATATTACATCTCTGATTGAATGTACGGGGCGACTTTTTACAGCCTCCACACGGCACAAACAACGTTAATGTGGCGATAAAATAGAGATAATAAGAATCCATAAAGAAAGCCCAACACAGCACAACGTTGCAGGCTCGGTTTGATTGAGCCTGTTCATGGACGATACTGTTAAGTGCAAATTACTGTCCACGCCCCCTAGCACCGGCTTAAGCAGAATTCAAGTTTGTGATCGTGCACAATTTTTGATAACATTTTGCAAATTTAATATTAATTTCTATTATTTATTATAAAACGGGGAGATGTTGTTTATAATCGATATTTTGATTAGCATCCACATAATTTTATTTTGGAATAAATATACATTTGTTTTACTTTTGCACTTAATTTAGTGCTTATTTATAATGTAGTATTATCTATTTGTTTTTGAACAAATATGTATAAAAAATCTAAATATTTCTTACATTGAAACTAGATTTTTTCCTTATGATTAACAACTTTGTTTATCTTACTCTTGTGTAAACAAAAATATTGAGTTATCTGTACTTTGTTTTTGTTTATTTGTATTGTGTCCTTGTATTTTGGTAAGCCTATATAATGTGTCCTTTATCGCTCCCGTCATCATGATGAAGATTGCTTTCTTTTGCAATGGGTAGGTAATAACGAAAACGTTGCTAAATTGTGGTTGTCTTTTGGAAAAGTATATCCATGGAGAAAGACAAAACAACAGTAATGTTTCAATTATTTTTTAAAAAGGAAGTTTGGTACGTTAAGTTAAAAGGTAAAGGTAGCCTGTCAAATATTGCACCAGCACTTTTTGTGAATTCACTAAATTGCAAATGAATTATAGTTTGAGGCAAAAAGTCATTTTACTCTGTTTTAAACATTGATAATTTGTGGTATCTTAAGAGTTGTTAATTGTTTTCCATTATTAATGTTCCTTATTTCAAAATCACCGCTGTGGGTTCAAATCTCGTTTATGCCGGAATTAATGCATGGAAGGACACCCGAGGTCTCCCTCCACCATTAAATCTGGATCGTCTCTTTATGACATATATTGTGTCTGTGTGACATAAAACACAATCAAACAAAATAAACAGATTTCAAAATCATCCTCTTTCCAGAGCCAGAAGTAGATTAATGTTTATTTCACAGTAGTATTAGTGTTGATTTTATTGTCTTGGATGTCCCCTGTCCTTGATTTAAACTTACTAACTGCTGGCAATTATGGTGACACAGAACAGAAAAAAAGCCATTTGTGCGTTTTATTAATCTCGTACGCACGAGATATTTTGTCGTGGCCACGTGCTATTAAGTTGTTGGAACGAGATAATTAAGTGGTGCGCACGAGGAACTATATCGTGACCACGACTGACAAAGTGGTGCGTACGAGATACTATGTCATGACCAGGAACTACTAAGTCGTGCGCACAAGTTACTAAGTCATGGCCAGGAGTAACTTAATCGTGTGCACGAGATACTTTGTCCTGGCCACGTGTAGCTAAGTCGTGGGAACGAGATAATTAAGTCGTGTACTCGAGATAATTAACAAATCAGATTACACAATAGACAATTTAACAAACAATCACCCTTTTAAGGTACACAGTGGCTTTACAGCACTAAAAGTATTAAAGGTTGTCTGACTTTGTATAATAAATTGTGGTTAACAAGATAACCTAAATATAATATCTCAAAATACCGTGTTTTCTAAATGTTTATCAAGATAATTGCTAACAAGTAAACTGTCATAAAACATGGGTGATAATCGGCTTAATTTATTTATAATGCCTTTCTTTACATCAGACATTCACCCTTAAGTTAAAAGTTTTGTATTTAAGCTTACAACGCAACGATTACAAACCATTACCTCCAAATGCTTCGGTTGTTATGTTTTAAAGTTGAAATTATTACTATAACAAAAAAATGTTTATTCCAGTCATTTGGTTGTTAATTGTGATGTTTTCTTTCGCAATGACTGATGATGAAACATGTCATGAGAAATTTGAATACGTGTTTAAAGTCATTTACAGATTATCCGAAGTTGAAAGGAAACTGGAAGAGCTGAGTTCACAAGAGGAGACAAAACAAGGTAAAAGTATAATCTTAAATTATTATACAAATTGTCATAATTATGTTTCGTTTAATTTGAAAAAAAATTTGAATTCAAACACAAGGAGAACAGAATTTTTTTTCATTGCATGTTATAAAGACTAAATAAAGTGCATATGAACTAAACTAATTAACATTTATAAAATAACTTTGACTTTTTTGAAACGCTAAGAGTATTAGTATTTTCAATATATGTCGACATGATAAACTTACTTCAATTTGTATCATAAGTTATTCAGAACAAAAAAATCAACAACAATCTTTACGATTCAGGTGACACGTTCACGAGATGGGGAATGACTTCTTGTCCAAATGGAACAACATTGATTTACGACGGTTTTGTTGGAGGTTCATACTATAACAGTGAGGGCGGGGCTGCAAATTATGTTTGCCTCCATAAAGAACCAACATGGAACGATCGAACTGTTATAAAATCAACTGTAAATAATATATACGGAGCAGAGTATGAAGTTGGTTCTTCCTGGGCAAGCATTCATGAGCATGATGTTCCATGTGCCGTATGTCACGTTTCTAGAAGCAGCATTTACATGATTCCTGGAAGAAACATTTGTAATGAGAAACATATCTTGCAGTACAGTGGATATCTTATGTCTGGTCATGACAGCCATAAATCAGCAACGGAATTCGTCTGCGTTGATGATCAGCCGCAAGCGTTACCTGGTACAGCAGCAGACCGTAATGGCAGATTGTTTTATTTCGTTTATGCGAAATGCGGATCACTCAAATGCCCGCCGTACGAGGAAGGAAAGAAAGTTACATGTGCCGTTTGCTCATTTTGAAAAATACTTTTATTAATATATATCAAAACTTGATATCACAAATGCCTTGTTCTCCTTTTTGAAACGACAGCTACACAAATATGTTCATCATTTATCACTGCATAATTTTATCAATTATTAATTTTAACTCAATAACCAGTTTGACAATAAATTATGAAATGATCCGTAAAAGAGATCGTATGGTAACATCTTACTCTGAAAAGCTCATACAGTATGAACATCATTTTGAAGAACATTCTTGTTTGACAAAATATTAATACGTATGATATTCCAGACGTGTTGAGATTGATACAATATATCATAAGATACGAAAGAAAGCATCATAACATTTATGGATATCCAGAAATCAATTTATATAAAATGATTACAAAAGAAAAGTTCATTTTTTATTTATTTCCATTGAAAAAGCAATCAGTTTTACAATTACCTATCAATCACATTTTCCAAACTGGATCATAATTTGGAAGTTAAATTTATAAGAACAAGATAAATTTTATTAAAACAACAGGACTTTTGAGCATTTGTTACCATTCCCCTTACTAAAAGTTGTGTTATTTTATATTCAATAATCGATTTATAATCATGAAACTTACAATGTTTTTCATCTTTATATGCATTAACACTTACTATTAAAATTAACATATTAAAATAGTATGTCATTGTTATCAATGTTTTAAACATGTGCTAAATATATATTCAACGGACTTATGTGAATCTTGTGATTATATTGTTTACTCGATAGACGTTTAATATGCTTTTAAATACACAAAACGTTTATTTTATTATTACATGACATTATAAAAAACAGGTTTACAAAATAAGCATTTTTATCCTGTACTGTCTTTTGTTATAGCATATATTATGAAATAATCTTGCTTTTATCAGAATTGTTGTAATAAAATAACATTAAAAAATATTTTCTTGTATTTTATCTTTCTACATGTAAACATACGCAAACTATTCACTTATCGTACTACATCAATTTGTATATACTCGTTATATCTAAACAAATGCTTTCAAGAAATAATCTTACGACCTAACACATGTATTAAAAGAATTTGAAACGTTGCACAATGTGATAATTCAATTCAAGTCATTTATTTACACAATGTTATCAACTCAATCCTCGTTTTCATTCAAAGTGACCACATTTAACCCGTATTGACTTCCATATTGACTCGGTTATCTATTTGTTCTCCAAGAAGTTAATACATTATCTATATGTTACCCTACCTGTAGTCCTTAATCGTTTGTATTATCTCTTGCAAAGTGGAATAATTATTGCGTTTTAAATTCCGAGCCGTTCAGCACAAAATCACTGTTATTTGTCGTCTTCAGCAACGAACAGTTTTAAATGTAAACAAAACTGTTTTAAGAGTGGCGGTGTAAAATAAGCTGGACATTCTATTGGACAGGTACGCAGCTGCAATACATATGTGGGACCCGGTCTGTGGCTCATTAAATTAACAGTTGAGTACTGGATACTGTACACAACATGTATATCAACATTATGCCAGCATTTCCTGGCCGAGTGGTTTACGTTACTGTAGACTTTAAGGCCGTCGGGGATTTCCGATGTCATTCTAACATGGAAGGTCCAGATTTGAAATAAAAACGTGGTTAAGCCGTGGAATAAGCAGGTGTTGAAGTACTTTTAAATTTAATAAGAAGCATTTCCTATCATTTAGGCTGTGCACTTATGTTAAAGTTTGATCAGATAACAACCTTTGCACATAATGTTTTGTGTTTTACCACTTGAAATAAAGATTTATTAGACAGTAACGACCTGTAACACAAAAAGTGACAAAGTATGCATATACCGGTATTCCACCCTAATATATATATATATTTAAGTGAGTACAGATTTAATTTAAGTTTCTATTTTGAAGGTACGAGCTTATGTTCACACTTCCAAATCCGTCCATAGAACTTGTAAGTGTACGAGTAAAGTTTTGTTTTGTAACGGGAGTAAGAAACAACGCGACCAGCAACCCGTTGATTACTAATCCGGTGTGTAAACACGCGTACATACCATCACCTTTAAATGAAATCATGAAATTATAAAACTTTAGATATAATGAATATTTCTATACAGCTAATTTGCGTAATTGTGTATTCTTTACCTATAGTAAGTACAGTAACTGCATAAAACCAAAAATTGTTGAATCATGAACAAACAAATATCATGTAAAACAGGCGTATATTTCCATTCATCTAAATATAAGCGGTTATGTTGTTGTTGTTTTTCAGTTTACGTGCAAAACATACCCACATTTTTAATTTTACGGTAAGATTTGATACCGACGATAGTATTCATACCCGTCTCGCCGCTTTGCAATGCTTAACAATATGATATTGACACTTATATATTTACATAATAGCGATTATGCAAAACCTTTAATGCCTTAAATGACTCCGAAATACTTTTATTTTTATTTCTCATTTTTTCCCAGCTTTTTTGTATACTTTATGGTATCCAATAAGTTACTCATTACCTGAACAATCTTTTTCACTTTTTGGCATTATGTAAAATAGGCATTGGGTATGGTTGTACTACTAATTCAAGAATTATTTTGCAATGAAGATCATTTATATACTTTTATTGAAAAATGCTTCATATGACATCTTATCTAGTCGTTAATTTATAAAACTGAATGTGTGTCATGCGTACAGTGTACTAAAATCACAATATTTTGAGCTGGCATGATTTTAAAGAAATGAATAAGTTTTGAAAATGTAACAATTACATTGTACTTGACACAACACAATTAACAACCACATCGAAGTAATTAAAAAGTGATTGAAGGTTCTACATTTGACACATTTATCTGTTGGCAATTGGTTAAATTAGGTGATTATGTCTTTTTGTATGGAAATGAAATTTTTACTTTGTTTACATTTCCTTTCTTTACAACACATAACTGCATGTTCAAATCTACTTCTCTCAGTTAAATAAAATCTAATATGAACTACATTCGTAATGTCAAAGTTATTCGACACATGTTAGATATTACAACAGAATCAAAAGAAAATATGCATTTCTTAGGCATAATATGTCTTCCGCGTTGTACTTTTACCTTAGGCTAATACATTTTATCAAAGAATATAGTGTTTATTTCTTATCCCCTTTTCCTTTTCTTTTTGTTAAATTCTGAAATCGATATATTTTCTATCTCGATATAAATCAAAACAGAAAGTATTTTATAAAGCATGGTGATATCTTCATTTAGAGTTTCTAGTATCTAATTAGAGTGTATACAGCTACATATCTTCTACAAACAAATAATATTATTATATAAAAGAATATGGTAGTTACTTTATATTGGCAATATCAATATTTGTTGAATTTGCATGTCGTTGATAAGTTTTACAACTGGGGCAAAACTTAAAGAACCTTTGTCCCTTATTTTTCACAATACTAACATTTTAATACGCATATTGCGTTGTTTGTTGAAGCAGGATATTAAGTCTACAATGTTATCTTCAGCGTACCATTAACATGATATGTCACACAATCGTCTGTTGACTTACATTTGAAAATAAGTTTCTGTTGTGCTAAATTTGCTAATATTTTATCTCTTGTAATTTTTCTCCAAATGGCTGTGGCCATATATAAAGATATTTACGTCTATTCAAATATAATTGTGTTCTATTTTCCTGATGTATATCTGAATCAAAAGAACAAGAACGTATACTAAGTTTTAAGTATTTAGTTTACAAAATTTTAAGGACGCAATGCCAGTGAAACAAACATGCTTAAGATTCATACACAAATATATTACGTTTATTACGTTTGGTACAATTATATATTTTAAAAGATTATTTACAGGTGCCGCTGCTTATGCGATAGTAGAATGTGTTTGGAATAACTTTTTATTGCATACCATTAATAAAAGCATTCATTATTGTCTTTTTTATATTGTTGTTTATTGCACCGACGATTGTTTGTTATATAAGTGCGCATGTGATGAACTAAATATAATTCATAAAATGAGTATTCAATATTGAAACGAGGTCATAGTTTGTAATGAGCATACTTGAAAATGAAAGCATATAATGTAACAGTAGATAGCAATAAGAATAAATGTAGATATAATAAGCAATCATTTACACGATCTAACGCACAAATTGAGATACGAGAACATGTTAGCTAATAATTCAAGTTAAAAAAACAACAAAGCTGTAATTTTTAGATTATTAGTATTATAAGACATCACAAACTATCGGCTTCAGCGGTACGTAATTTTCAATACTTAAAAGTGCTAAACAAATTGACAAATACAATGTATCATCATATCCAATAAAACACACAAAGAAAATTATAACAAATTACGAGGATGAGGGAAAATATTTCGTATTTTTTGTATGATCTTTTTATTTTTGTTAATTGTAGAATTAATTGTCAAATTTGTTTTAAATTGTACTATCATTTGTTTTATTTTGGTAAAAGTATGGCGAACCTTTTAGTATTTTATTGTAATTAATTAAAAAATGATTTCATAGTCTTAAGTGTAAAATCTAACTCAAATATGATGAAGCAAACAATTGTATTGCGTTTGTATTGTTTGCCGAACCGCATGCCAATGAAATAGATGATCGTACGAAGCTGTATACAATCTGTTTAGTAATGCAAACTATGATCTACTTGATGCTAGGATTGAACAACTTAAGCTGACAGAAAAGGGTTGAAACATCTAAAAATCCATGTCTCATTCTTAACCGATAAATGATATACGACATACTCTTACAGTATATTACCTGGTTAAAGTAAACTGTTGAGATAGCATCATAGTTCTTTGCTTAGAGTTTTGGATTTGTGTATAATTATAGACTGATAAAAATCAAAGTCAATATTTTACTTTCGAAATATTTTTATCGATTTTGTCTTTTAGAAATTGCCATAGATTTATACACTTCTTTCTTCCACAAAAATGGAGGATTAACGTGTTTGTGTTATTTGCTATATCGTTTGCTAAATATCCAACATGGACAAAAGAAGTTAATAAACAAATGCGCAATTCTCTACTACATCA